TTGTATTATAGTAAAATAAATGTATTAGGTATAACCTAACACCTAACACAAGGCATAAGTTAGTAAAGTAAGTGTACAATTTAAATATATAAATATACAGTGATAAACAATATTATATACAGATTAAAGTCAACTTTATTCTAAAATTGCAGACTTTATTAAAAACGAAAAAAAAAGTTTGATGTTTGATGAGTAATTAATAGTAAATTTATAATAATTATTGACAGAAAATCTTATATTGTATAATAACAATAACAAAAGCAATAATGAAAACATTAAAATTAATGATAATGATGATAATGATGATGATGATAATGGTGATGATGATGATGATGATGATGATGATGATGAGGATGATGATGATGATGACGATGGTGGTGATGAGGACGATCATGGTAAATGATAACGATAAATGTTAATAATAATGGTGAAAATAATAATGTTAAGTCTAGAAATAATTAATTGTTTATTGAGCGCCCTCTATAGTTTGAAAAGTGGAAAACTTGCTGGGTAGAGGCCTAGCAACGACGTAGGATTCACGCTAGCAACGTATACGTTAGTGTTGAGGCATAAAAGCCAGAATGATTGATGTTTGAAATGTTTGCAAGGTTTCTGTAATAGGACAGATAAAGGGTGAGTTTTATACGAACCTATGAATATTGCATAGTTAAGATTTAATGATGATTTTGTGAGATATTAGAATTTTAAACCAAGCGTTGATTACCGCACGTACGAACGTTGCGCGGGCGCCATATTTTCTGTACACTGTTATACGTAGCCTAGGCCAGTTACACCGAGCTAAACTTTGTACATAAATTTCACAATAAGACAGTGTTTGTATTATTAATATAACATTTATTCTGTATCCCTGATCTATGATAAGCAGCCACGTTTATAGAAAGCATAGATAAAAATAGGATATAGTGTTGAAATAATGGTATAAATGCATTATCGTACTACGAACAGTTCGATCGCATAACTTGATAGGTCTTGAGGAACGTCGCTGTTCATTTTCTTTCTTCACGCTTGAATGAACATCAACATGAATATTTATTAGGTAGTCGAAAATAGGCTATTCACTATGTATTGGATGTATTATTTCGATTTACAGCATATAGACTTTTGTATTATGCATTAATTGTATTTCAGATTGTTTAATTAAATCTGGATGCTTTGTAACATATCTAGGAAATTAATGAAGTAAACTTTATAGGCCAATTACTTTAAATGAGAATGTTTAATGAGCTGCTTTGATAATTAGGCATAGCAAATGACATTGTGTTGAATTATTGTAAGGTTTGTTTTTTTTTGTTTGCTTCTTATAGCATCGCCAAAGTTGTTCAAGAGAAGGAATTGAATAAAGTTCTCGTGTTTGAATACTCCGTCGTCTGTACATAAAATTGCGTAAATTACATCCAGGACGCCAACAGTTGGGTGAATTGTATTAAGGAAGCAACCAAATCATGTCTAGTCGTTCAGTTAGCACTAAGTCATCGACTGCATCAGCACTTCGACTATCTGCAGCACAAGCTAGAGCAGATCTTGCTATAGCCAAGGTAAAGGAAAGGAATGCTGCAAAGAAAAGGGAGCTAGCTTCTGAACTTGAAAGCCTCAAGGATAAGGAAGAGGTTGAAATCAGTGAAGTTCGACTAGAGGTTCTGGAAAGGGAAATCCAGCAAATCGAGGAAGAGGAGGCAGCCAATAAAATTGACTTGCCAGATGAGGATCAAGCTGAATTAATGAATAGGTTCATGCAATTTCAAATGGACGAGATGCCACTGCTGCAAGGAGAAGAGGAAACCCCTCATACAGCAGAGGAAAGGCAGGTAGACTTCATACAACCTAGTGTAACAATTCAACTAGGAAGTCCAACCCAAGATGAGTCAAGAGGACTGGCAGCAGACCAACTCAGTCATCAAGTCAAGAATGATGCTGCAGACCTATCACTACCAAGTACATTTCCAGTCGCAAGTCAGCCAACACCGCAACCAAATACATTGCCAGTTATAGGTCAGCCGATACCACAAGGCACGTCTAAGGAACATCAAGATGTTATCGAGTTGATAAAAAGGCAGGGCGACATTATCACCCACTTTGCGACATCATATGTTTTACCGAAGAGAACGATCAGGCCATTCGGTGGTGAGCCAACAGAGTATGCTAGGTTTAAAAAGGAATTTTGAGTATGAAATTGAGCAGAAACTTAGCAAGGACAGAGATCGTCTTTTTTATTTCGAACAGTTCACTGTAGGTGAAGTGAACAGGCTGGTGAAGAGTTACTTCCACTTAGACCCTTCCAGAGGCTTTAAAGAGGCTAAGGAGGCTATTGAAGGTAGATATGGAAATCCCTTCAAGTTAAGTGAGGCTTATTTGAACAAGGCTAGGAATATACCCAATATAAAGGCAGAAGACAGCACCGCTTTGGCAAATTTCGCTGTTTCTACGTGTAAAAACGTGATGGAGGAGTTAAATGATGTCAGAGAGTTAAATCACACAAAGGGCATACAACTGCTAGTAGGGAAACTTCTGTACAAGCTGTATGTGAAAGGTGGCGGATTATAACTGATCATATTCAGGAGGAGCAGATACGAAGGGTCCAATCTGCTGACTTGGTCAGTTTCGTTAACAAACAAGCATGCATTCTCAAGAACCTCACATATGGTGACATCAAAGATGACAAGCCACTAATGTCAAATTCAAGATCTACATCTTCAAGGAATAAAGGTTCATATGCCGTAGTAGTGGGGACAATATCCTGTCCACATTGCCAGAACAACCATAATCTTGACAAGTGTGAAGCCTTTGGAGCCTTAACAAGGGAGGCTAAACTTGAATTCATAAGACAGAGACGACTATGTTATAGGTGCTTGGGTACAGGGCATCAAAGTAAGGCTTGTGGTAAGCGACACACATGTACTAAGTGTAAATTTAAACATCCCACTGTGCTTCATCGTGACCCAGTTGATAAGAGTGCCAAGGCCGGTGAATTCTCAGCATCCTGCATTGAAGATGGAGAGGCACCATGTATGTTAGCCATGATTCCGGTACAGGTGAGAGCGATGAATGGCTCAAAGACAGTCACAACATACGCATTCCTGGATCCCGGCAGCACAATATCATTCTGTACTCAAGGCCTCATAGAGAGCTTAGGAATCAGGGGGAAACCAACCAGAATACCCATTGGAACCGTCGCAGCCAAGCATGATCTGCAGACGCAGATAGTAAAGGATTTATTGATAAGTAGCATAAGTGGCGATGAATCAGAAGTTGTAGTTTCCACATCATACACCAGGGAGAGCTTACCAGTGGATAGAGTTCACATTCCCACTCAAGATGACGTGAACCGATGGTGACATTTGTATGGAGGGACGATACCAGAAGTTGAAGCAGAGGTTGGACTATTGATTGGGATGAGAGTGGCAGGGGCGTACACACCGCTAGAAACGAAGACTGGGCCAGTTGGTACCCCTCATGCTACCAGAACTAGATTGGGTTGGGTGGTATGGAACCTCATAAAAAATGGTTCCACGGCCAAGTGTTACCCAGTGCATAGAACATAATTGCTGAGATATGACAAGGTAGAAGAGAACAGTAAACTGGAAAGAATGGTCAGATTAACTAGTGAAATTGACTTTCCAGAGAAGGGGTTGAACAGTCAGCCACAATTGTCTATAGAAGATAAAATGTTTGTTTCAAAGGTTAAACAAACCATCAGCAAAGAAGATAAACATTATTGTATCGGGCTACCATTCAGAAGCAATGCAGTAATGCTGCCCAATAACAAGGTTATGGCAGAAAAGAGACTCGTACAATTACGAAAAAGATTGGAAAAAGACGTCAAGTTCCACATGGATTATGCTGCGTTCATGAGAAATCTGCTTGAAAAAGGTTATGCAGAAGAGGTGACAGGGGGTGATTACAAGGAAGGTAAATCATTGTATATTCCACATCATGGCGTCTACCACCCACAGAAAAAGAAGATTCGTGTGGTGTTCGATTGTGCCGCTAAGTATCAAGGCATTGCACTCAATGATATGCTGCTCCCAGGTCCTAATTTGACAAGTAGCCTTTTGGGAGTGTTATTGCGTTTTAGAGAATATGAGGTGGCATTGATGGCTGACGTGGAAGTGATGTTCCATCAAGTGCTTGTTCCCGAAAAAGACAGGAATTTCCTAAGGTTTCTGTGGTTTCCAGAAGGAGATCTTCAAGCTAAACCTGTGGAGTATAGGATGCGAGTACACTTGTTTGGTGCTGCATGTGCCAATTCAGCACTATTGCAGGCCGCCGAAGATGGTAAAGATGTCAGCAACCACAAGGCAGTAGAAACGCTTAAGAGGAATTTTTATGTTGACGACTTATTGAAAAGCGTTAGGTGCTCTGATGAAGGTATTCAACTAGTGACAGATTTGATGAATGTATGTGCTAAAGGCGGTTTTAATTTAACCAAGTGGTCAAGTAATGATAAACAAGTCATCGAATGGATCCCACGAGAGAAGAGATCGAAGGATCTCCAAGATTTGAACTTGAAGGAAGATGGGTTGCCACCTGAAAGAGCATTGGGTGTCAAATGGAGTCCTCAGGATGACTTTTTGTGTTTTAGCCCACCAACTCGAGAGCAGCTCTGGACTAAAAGAGGTTTGCTGTCGATTCTAATAAGTTCGGTGTTTGATCCGATAGGTCTGGTTGCGCAAGTTATTTTGCCAGCAAGAGTGGTGCTGCAGGAGACAATCAAGGGTCACAGCGGATGGGATGACATTGTTCCAGAGAATTTGCTGAAACGATGGAGGCAATGGTGGTATGACTTGCCCTTGATTGAAGAGCTCAAGATACCCAGATGGTTAGGCATGAGTCCTAACCACAATAGTCAACTACATGCAAGCGAGAGAGGCTATGGCGTAGTTATGTACCTTAGAACTGAAGGAGCAATCAACTGTAATATATTATACAGTAGGTCGAGGGTAGCACCCTTAAAGAGACAAACGATTCCGCGACTAGAATTAACAGCAGCAACCCTTGCTGTGAAGAGTGTAGACCTAATTTCTACAGAGATGGATGTTAAGTTCAGCAATGTTTATTACTGGACAGACTGTTCTGGTTTTGAATTATATCAACAACACTAAAACCCGATTTAGTGTGTTCGTAGCAAATCGGATAAGTACTATCCACGAGGGCTCAAGACCTGATCAATGGAGGCACGTGGATGGCAAAATCAATCCAGCGGATATAGCATCCAGAGGTTTAAACCTGAGGAAAAAAGATGATGTTCAAAGGTGGTTAGGAAGGCCGGAGTTTATCTGGAAAGGAATGGAGCAATGGCCTAAACCATTTCTCAGTGGAAATCTTGAGAGAGGTGATCCAGAGGTGAAGGTGGTTGCTTGTGCTGTTACCCAACAACAAGATCCTGTTGAGCTGTTTATGCAGCACTACTCACCTTGGTACCGCTTGAGAAGGGCAACTGCGTGGCTGTTAAGAATAAAGAGAACACTCCTTAAGAAGGAAGTAATCAATGGAGACATCACGCTAGTCGAACTTAAGAATGCAGAGGTCACTCTCATCGGGTATGCGCAAAACAAGCAATATGTTAAAGAGATAAAGGCCTTGACAGATGGCAAATTGTTGAAGAAGTGTACTATAACCCCGGTATTCTTAAAACGAACTTTAGTCGTAGTTCGAGCTAAAACTTTAAAATTACGTCATTTCGTATTCTTAAAACGAACTTCGACTAGCACTACGACTAAATGACGTGAACCTCGACTAAAATGATACCTCCGCAGGCCGATTTTTTTAGTCAGCCTAGGGTCAGGCTAAATCGCCGACTTGAAATATTTACCCCACTAAAAACGTGTTTTTTGTAACTCACGATAAAGTGAAATGAATAAAAACGATTATATACGCAGGTTTGATATATCTTCGGTGTGTTAAACAAAAGAGACACCAAGTTTAGCTTCTGGAAGGAGAAATTAACATGTTTTGCTGGCCACATGCGATAGTTCCTGATTTGCACGAAATCCCCTCGCGTTGCGATCACGTAGCTTTACAATAACAACAACAAAGATGGCGCCGCCCTCGCTCGGGCTCAACTATAATAGTTCTCCAAAGAAAGCCAATTTTCAGTGTCTGTTCAAATTCTCTATTGTAATATTTTAACAACTTATATAGTTATTATTATAGAAAATTAATTAAGGGAATGATGGTCTATTATGAATTATGAGGAAATACATTTTTGAACCGCAGACGGCAGCTTAATATTCATCCGCGTTACCGGATCTCTAAAATTTCGTCTGCTATAAAAGTTAGCCCTTTTCATTGGTTAGTTTGATAGTCGTGGCTTGCCAGTCGTCTTCAGTTGAACTAAAACTAGGACTTGATTTAGTCGTAGTTAAAACTTCGACTACATTGTTTGTGAATACAAATTGAAATTAAAGATGCAACTAGCACTAAATGAAGTTCTAGTTCGAAGTTCGACTAAAGTTTGTTTTAAGAATACGGGCGTTAGTAGATTAGATCCATTTCTGGAAGATGGACTACTAAAAGTTGGCAGTCGCCTACGACGGTCAACACTACCATGTGACATGAAACACCAAATGATCGTGCCCAAGAAACATTACATCTGATACTTAATCATGATGGAGGCTCACCAGACATCAGGGCACTGTGGGAGAAATCACCTAGTATCTGAGATCCGCAAACGATACTGGATCCCTCAAGCACCGTCAGCCGCGAGGGGACTGATAGCTAAATGTGTAGCATGTAGACGCTATTCCAGAAAGCCTGAAACTCAGAAGATGGCTGATCTTCCTTGATGCAGGGTAACAATTGGAGAAAACCCTTTTTCACATACAGCTAAAAAGGTATGGTGTGATGTTCACCTGCCTTCAAACCAGAGCAGTACACCTCGAGATAGCTTGCTCATTGACTACTGACTCTTGTATCAATGCAGTGAGAAGGTTCGTTTCTAGACGAGGGCCGGTAAAATTGATCTGCTCTGATAATGGTACAAATCTTGTAGGAGCACGGAAGGAACTTCATCAGGCGATCAAGGAACTTAACACCGATAAGATAACCAAGCAACTGATGGTTAAAGGTATTGAATGGAGACTTAATCCCCCAGCCGCATCTCACTTTGGAGGTATATGGGAGCGGATGATACGTTCAGTGAGAAAGGTCTTATACGGTGTATTGAAAGAACAACCGATTAAGTTAGATGATGAAGGTCTCACTACTTTATTGTGTGAGACTGAAGCGATTATCAACAGTAGACCCCTGACGATAACATCAGATAATCTTAATGACACGGAACCATTGACTCCGAACCACTTTTTGACTGGCAAAGGGCAAACATCATCTTCACCAGGAGTATTTGTTAAGACGGAGCTTGTGAAGCATTGGAGGCAAGTTCAATATTTGACCAGTTTATTCTGGAAGCGTTGGTCCAAGGAGTATTTGACAACACTTCAAGAAAGACAACGTTGGATTAATCCAAAGAGGAATGTATCTGTTGGAGATATTGTTTTGATAGCTAATAACTCACCAAGAGGAAGATGGCCGATGGCAAGAGTTGATGAGGTATATCCAGACGGAAGGTCGTGTGAGGTCAGTCAAGTTAAGGACGAAAACATCTACGTTGATAAGGCCGATTGCAAACTTGACCAGTAATGAAATTATCACTATCTGACAGAACTGTGAACTTTGCACAATAATATATAATATATTGACAGTGGAAAATATTAAAAGTGGAAAACTTGCTGGGTAGAGGCCTAGCAACGACGTAGGATTCACGCTAGCAACGTATACGTTAGTGTTGAGGCATAAAAGCCAGAATGATTGATGTTTGAAATGTTTACAAGGTTTCTGTAATAGGACAGATAAAGGGTGAGTTTTATACGAACCTATGAATATTGCATAGTTAAGATTTAATGATGATTTTGTGAGATATTAGAATTTTAAACCAAGCGTTGATTACCGCGCGTACGAACGTTGCGCGGACGCCATATTTTCTGTACACTGTTATACGTAGCATAGGCCAGTTACACCGAGCTAAACTTTGTACATAAATTTCACAATAAGACAGTGTTTGTATTATTAATATAACATTTATTCTGTATCCCTGATCTATGATAAGCAGCTACGTTATAGAAAGCATAGATAAAAATAGGATATAGTGTTGAAATAATGGTATAAATGCATTATCGTACTACGAGGCGGTTCGATCGCATAAATTGATAGGTCTTGAGGAACGTCGCTGTTCATTTTCTTTCTTCACGCTTGAGTGAACATCAACATGAATATTTATTAGGTAGTCGAAAATAGGCTATTCACTATGTATTGGATGTATTATTTCGATTTACAGCATATAGACTTTTGTATTATGCATTAATTGTGTTTCAGATTGGATTTATACTTCAATGAAAACTTATGTACAGTATAATGATGCGGAGAGATCAAAATTTACGGTATGGCAAGAAATATTGATAGAATCTGTATAATTATAGATAATCATAGATAATTAATAATCATTTACATACCATGATTATAACCTTTATGATGAATCGTTTAATTAAATCTGGATGCTTTGTAACATATCTAGGAAATTAATGAAGTAAACTTTATAGGCCAATTACTTTAAATGAGAATGTTTAATGAGCTGCTTTGATAATTAGGCATGGCAAATGACATTGTGTTGAATTATTGTAAGGTTTGTTTTTTTGGTTTTTTTTTGCTTCTTATAGCATCGCCCAAATTGTTCAAGAGAAGGAATTGAATAAAGTTCTCGTGTTTGAATACTCCGTCGTCTGTACAAATAATAATAATAATAATAATAACAATAATAATAATAATAATAATAATAATAATAATAAAATAATAATAATAATAATAATAATAATAATAATAATAATAATAATAATAATAATAAATTAATTATAAGAATAAACTTACTTGGGCAGCCTTCATTGTTTGGTCCAGCAGCTGGAGCATCGATGAGTGTACAGCAACCATATACCTCCCTCTCGGGTTGCACTTTCTCGGAGTTACATGAAGGCTAGGGAGAGACTGCGGAACGTGGGTAAAACCTGCTTGAACTAACCAACACAAAAGGACCTATATTATATGGTTAAATTAATACCCGGAATTTTATTAACAAAGTCGAATGCCTTTTATGTACAGTACTTTTGAGTAATTGAATAGAACATTCCTATTCACAGAATGACGCATTGCTATGTCCTTTTCAATGCGTCAAATAATTTAATGGGTTATAAATCATGGTTGGCCCAGATTATACATTTCAGGAATATACAGTAAATTGGTACTTGGTAGGATGCATGAATGGGTGTATTTGTCACGTCTGTGCGAAATACACTGCTACGGAAATCATACATCCGGCTATTTTTAATCACCTACGCTCGAAAACCGAGGGTATTTTTACGAGGCTTGGGGAGTAAGGTTTTTTTCCCCTCTTTTTTTCTGATTGTGAATTGTTTTTACCGACTAGTTTAGCCTTTTAACCTGAAATGGACCTTTCCGATGTGTCAATCAAACTTAACAACTGACCAATCAGAACAGAGTCAGGAATACGCACATAAGATAGTATAATACATACCGGTACTCCAAGTATCGAAATGCACATAAGATAGTATAATACATACTCCAAGTATCGAAATGCACATAAGATAGTATAATACAATCTCCAAGTATCGAAATCAATATCAATATTCTAACTTTGAATTTTATACCTTGTGATATTATATGTTTATTTTTACAATTTTCGCCTGTAAGTGGGAACAAAGCGTCCCTGCTGGACCACTGTTTGAAATAAACAAGTCTTTGGAGCTTACAAGGAAATTAGACTTTGGGCATTTTCTAAATGGAACCACGGGGTGGAAATATCGGATCTTTTGAAAATGGAGTGTGTTTTACACTTCGCATGATCTTGTGTACTTAATATAGGTAATCATTCACAACGTATTATTCAAACATTACTAAAGCGCGATTATCCAAGCAGAAAACTTAACACGAAACCTGGTAAATTGTACGGCAATAAATAGTAATATTTGTACAAGAATGAAGGAGGCAACCGCAGACTTATTGTTTGCATTGTAATCGTGGCCGACATTTTTAAACCACAAAATAATGTGTTTTTTTTTTTTTTTAATTAAGAATTGTGTTGATTGAGAGCAAGGACAAGGTTTTAAATTATTATACTTTTTTCAATGACGATCGTGGACGACATTGATTCACAGCAAGGACAATGTTTTCAATTATCATACCCTTTTCAATGACGTACAAAAATATGTTGAGATACATACCTTGATCGAAAACGATTTGTGAACTCTCGATGCACAGCAATGATGCTATCTCTAATATTTGATCTGATGACGTCACCGTTGGACTTCTTGTGCGACTTAAAACTAGGAAATTGTTTTTACCCAGTTGACAACTACCATCTTCATTTAACACTCGGCATTCGTACATTACGACAATGTTTTTGAAGTCCGTGCACAACCTGATATTTGACTATATATATATATATATATATATATATATATATATATATTATGTCAAACAGAAATAATGACAAAAATATAACTATTATAATTTACATCATTAAAATTAATTGAACATTTGTAAATTCATTACATTCAAAATTACTATTTGCAATTATTTCAAAATTTAACTATTTAAATTAAATATCTACACAATGATTATTTGAATACATAAACAAACATCCCAAATATGATAAGCGCCGAGGCATTTTTGATTATTTACAATATAAGTCAGTGCCAACCTTCATTGGAAATGCCATGGTCGGACACCAAACGTGGAAAATATATAGTCAGTGGGCCCGTACGCGATTTTATTGAGTAACCATGTGCAATAATGTCTTGTTCGACACAAACTCCAGACCTAGAACAAAAAGAAATGTGTAAATATAGCATCACAACTAAAATTTGAAGGGAGTTAAGCAAAAATTTTATAGAAAATATGCTCACAGCAATCCTTCATCAGATCTTTCAAAATGGAAACTTCCATCAACAGGAATAAGAAGCATTACCACAATACTGTCAAAAAGGTTGATTTTACAAAATATAATACGCATATCCCTGCTACCAACCGGGCAGTAAAGTTAAAGTGTATGGGAAAATTTAATGAATGAAAGAAGCAATTGACATAACACTCAGAGATAAACAAGTTGGATTAAGAAGTGGCAAAAGGAAAAAAATACAATTATACATACTGGCAAACATCATTAAACGAATTTAAAATGAAATACCTCACTATACATCAACTTTATTTCACAGTACAGAAGGAGAAACTTTAAAAGATCACAGAAGCTCTGGAGTAGTCTACCAAAAACGTTCAACATAAATATAAGTGATTGGTGAGAGTAGCACCATCAGTGAATGAATAACCTACCGTCAAATTGGCTTAAAGAAAACGCAGATATCAAGCAAGTGTTTCGTGTTCGCAATTTTCTTTACAGAGCAGTAAATTGATTGGTGATATACAACCAGAAGAAGTTGGAATTAAATAACGTTACACGTCACAGCTTTTGAGGACCTAGACTATGCAGATGACATCTCACTGATCCCAAGGACTAAAGAACAACTCCAAGATTAAATCCCACATGAAGAGTACAGGCATACGACTAAATAAAAAGAAAACATATTAATATGCAAAAAATAACAGAAGTAACGAAACAAAGTGGAGAGGATACTTGGATTGCTCTTGGTCAAACATCCTTCAAACAATGTGTACCACCTCAAAAAAGAGAAAAGTTTTGTAATGATGTAATTCGCCCAGAAACTTATAAGATAACAAGAGCCAATGAAAAGAAACTTAATACATTCCATAAAACATAGAAAAATAATGTAAATACGATATTTAAGTGAAGAAATAAAAGAAGGAGTTCGTTGCTGTTGTTCATCTTCTCAAGAAAGAAAATTAAAACCATGCCAGACTCGCTATCAAAGGCACAACAGTATGATCAAGGTAATTCAACAAAAGGACGCACATCTCCGCTCTCGAACATAGCGCGTGCGTACAGTCCTTTGATCTTTACGGTGGCATCGACAAACCGATACTAGTTGCGAGTACAGCCGTCAATTATTAGTCTATGCGTGCCATTCGTT